CCTGCTGTGTTCATCCAGCTCTACACCTTGTTATCTCAGACAATTACAAAGGCAAGCTTTTATTTATAGCTAGCAAAAGCAAGCGCAAACTAAATGAAAAGATCCTTCAGTTCACACCCACAATGTATGCTAAATGCATGATGAGCAATGACTACTTCACATTCCATGTTTTCTTCTGCACCCAGTTCCCATCAACTGGAACCAGGCATCAATCAAGTCCTGTCTGTAGTGCCCAATACTGCTGAGCTTTGTCCTGCACAGGGAGAGTTTTCACCTCCTCAACGTCCTCATCTTTAGAAGACGGCTCTCATCCCCCCTGTTATTCAGCATGAAGCACATTGCTTCACTGCAGAGTTATGCCAGCTCCTGGGGTAGCAGGCCAACACTTCCAGGGTGAGGTATTGGTGACCACAGATTATCTGGTCATTACTGGAATGGAATCCCTTCCTGTTGATGAATTCTGCAGCACCTGAGGAAATCAACAATGTTTCTGAATCTTACTGCCCAGGCTGCAGTATTGACTTTGTCACTTGGGAAAAAAATTAACCAGTATGATCTTGCACAGACGGCATTGTGATGGCAGGAAACACAGTATGTAATAGACAATGGCAGTACCTGGTTTCACCTGGTTACAAGGTACCACACCCCCTCTCTTCTGCAAGCATCCATGTCCTGGTTTATTTGGACTAACCTGACAGCCCATTTCAACTCATCTATATCCATGTGGAGACTCACCACATTGAACTTTGCCCCCGATACATGACCTTATGCCTTACTGATGCTCACTGTGATCCTATATGCTTCCTCTGTGGCAAAACCCCCTCTCTCCCTTGTACCTTGACATTCCAACCATCATTGCCTATTCTTCACCTCAATACATGCCTCTCTGTTTTTCCCTTGCCCAGCCTGATGCCTCACCCATGTTTGCCAATGAGTCCCCCTTTGCCCCTACAGTCACCCCTTTGCACCCTGCTCCCATAAATGGATGGATCCCCTGGTCTGTATATGCCTAAAACCTCTGACTAATTTCAATGAACTGCCTTTAGACATGACTGACCGGATCCCTGATCACTATCTTTGCAGCTCCCTGACTGATGATATGCAATTCCCCTGACTACTTGGGATAGTCCTACAGAATTGACTGTTCCCTACTCTCTGGAGTGTAGCTGAACAATAGTAAGTAACATTTGTGCCACACAAATGCCAGGCAGTGACCCACTCCAAGAACAGGAAAACTAACCATTGCCCTTGATAATCTATGGTATTACCATCTCTCAATCCCACCTCTATTATCATCGTGAGGATTAATATTAACGAGAAAGAAACTGAACTGAACTAGCCATATAAATACTGTTGCTACAAGAGCAGGTAGGAGGCTAGGAATCCTGCAGCATGTATCTCATCTCCTGACACCCCAAAGCTTGTCCACCATCTACAAGACACAAGTCCAGAATACAGCCTGCATTATTGGCACCACATCCACAAACAACATTCATTCCCTCCACCTCTGAGGCTTGGTATCAGCAGAGTGTACCATTTACAAGATACACTGAAGTAACTTACTCAGGCCTCAGACAGAACCTTTGAAACCTGCAACCTCTAGCATCCAGAAGGAAAATAGCAGCAGAAACATGGGAACATGATGGCTTTTAAGTTTCCTCCAAGACACACATCATCTTGACTTAAAATATACTGCCGTTTCTTCAACTATAACTGGATGAAAATTCTGGAACTGTCTCCGTAACAGCATTGTGGGTTTTCCTACACCAAATGGACTACAGTATTTAATTTGATTGATTTGATTTAACTTGATTTATTATTGTCACGTGTACCTAGGTACAGTGAAAAGCTTTGTTTTATGTGCAGTACGGGCAAATCATACCATACAGAATGCATAGGGTAACAGAACAGAGCCAAGAATACAATGTCATGGCTGCAGAGAAGGTGCACAACGAGCAAGATCAAAATTAAATTTAAAATTTAAGAGGTCCATTCAGAAGTCTAATAACAGTGGGAAGAAGCTGTTCTTGAATCTGGTAGTCCAAGAAGGAAACTCACCACCGCTTTCTTAAAGTCAATTTAGGATGGAATAATTGTTAGCCAAATCAATGATGCCCACATCCACAGAATTCATACAAAATGCTCTATTTGTTCAGGGGAACTGGGTAGATGGCATGACGTTATCATAAACCGGCCTTTCATATTTTAATTAGTGTTATTGAACAAGAAGTAAGAGTAGCTGCCCAAAGCCGTTGGGATCCTTTTTAGCAAATACAGATTGTGTCCTGATGCTGCCTTCAGGAGGAATGACTGAATTTATAGAGTCATTGGGTCATACAGCACTGAAACAGACCCTTTGGTCCAACTCGTCCATATCGACCAGACATCCCAATCTGAACTAGTCCTATTTGCCAGCATTTGGTCCATATCCCTCTAAACTCTTCCAATTCATGTAACCATACAGATGCTTTTCAAATGTTGTGATTGTACCAGCCTCCACCACTTTCTCTGGCAGCTTGTTCAATATGCACACTTCCCTCTACGTGAAAGTTACCCCTCAGGTCCGTTTTAAATCTTTCCCCACTCACCTTAAACCTATGCCCTCTAGTTTTGGGCTCCCCCACCATAGGAAAAAGACCTTGGCTATTCACCCTATCTATGCCCTTCATGATTTTATAGATCTCTGTAAAGTCACCCCTCAGCCTCTGATGCTCCAGAGAAAAAATCCCCAGCCTATTCAGCCTCTCCCTAGAACTCAAACCCTCTAAACCTGGCAGTGTCCTTGTAAATCTTTTCTAACCTTCTCAAATTTAACAACATCTTTCCTATTTATTTGAGCAACAAGAGGCAATGAATTACCCCCACCAGGGTAACACAGTGCAGAAGTGCAACAGGGAGGACGCTGGTAACATTATGGTAGTGTCCCTGCCTCTGTGCCAGGAATCCTGGATTCAAGTCCCTCCTGCTCCAAATGTGTGAGTAACATCTCTGAACAGGTTGATTAAAATACCCGGAAGTGCAATGGGGTCAGTGGTGGCCTGAAAAAGGAAAGTTTGAAAGTTAAACACTTTTATTTCTTGAAAGAGGGTTCTTAGATCCCATAAGAAAATCTTTGGTCTCCACTGCTGATCCCTGAAGAATGGCCTGCCACATTTGTGCCAGTTTAAAACAACCAGTTTGAAGAATTAGGAAGTCACCTAGCTCCACTTGAATAAAATCCAGGTGGTTAGAGTACCTTAGGCACTCCATTTGCTGTTACAGCTGAGTTTTGGTATGACCAACCATCATCCACAGTAAACCAGCTCTTGTTTAAAGTCAAAGCTGGTCCTTTATCTATAATGGTGGGATTATTGTCTGGTGAACATGGGAGAAATCAACTCTCATATATTTGATCTGCCTGGCATTGCAGTGTAGGTCTCCTTCATCCAAACCAATTGGATGCATGTGGAGGGTTGGGTGCGGATAAGGGAATAATGATGCTGGAGGCTAAAGAATATTTAAAATCACTTTTGTCAATGTAAGTGCCAATAGCAATAAGACAAACAAAAACAGAGAAAAAGCGAAGGCTGGGAAACATGTAAAATTCACTTATGTTGGGAGTCTTTTCCACATACAGTGCTTACCTGTTCCAAGCAACCCTGAACACTATTTTAAATGGAAATGATTTAGATCGAACATCCTGCATGCCCAATCCTCAGGAAATCTTCAACTTAATTTTGGTATGAAAAGCCCATTTTGAAATGGAATCTTCCGATAGTGCTGGGTGCAATGGTCTCAGAGGCCAAGTTGCAAAACAAAGTTCAACACAAATAGCTGTCTGAGTTATGCCAGTAGAATGGGCATCGAGTAGTGAAAAATCTAGGCTATGGTATTTTAATCCTGAATGGTTACTGATCCTTCTATTAATATGTTTATCCAAATTGGAAAAAGATATGCACATGTAGCTCTTACTTCTCAACAAATGTGCACCATGTAAAAAAGGAATGATTTTCATGGTAATATCTTTGTTTATTACACAATGAAAAAATACATTAAACAAAATATACACCTGTATTTTCCAGCCCATTAAATTATATTTATTGTTATTTACAGTCATTTGGTGATATGGAACTCAAGTATTGCTTAAAAAAGACACATTTGATTGAAGCTTTCCATCTTGCATTCATGAGGACAATCCATAGGAATGCCACTGTAAGGCAAAACCAATGTTTATCCTGTATAAGAGAAGTGTTCTGATTGATTGGCAAGTGAACCCTGTTTGGTAGTTGAGTTACTATAGCGATGATAACTGACAATTAACTGCCAGGCTTCTTTTGAAAATTTCAGACCAGATAGGTTGGATCTGATTGCTCAGTTGCTCTGAGAAATGAACCAGTGAATGTCTGTCACCTATTCTGTACAGTTGAAATGGACACAAGCATTCTTTTAGTTTGTGACATATAGGACCCTGTGTATAACATATGTAGTTTCCAGTACATGCAAGTTTGCCACACTTCCAACCGATTGAAAATGCTTGGTTGACAGTATAATTCTTCGCATATTCAGGATTATCCAGCAAATGTTGTCCAATTGTGGAATCACATCGAATGTTGTTTGTTGGGTTTTACAAGTATGGGCTGGTTGAATTTACTCAAAATCTTTCTTTTATGAACAACTAAAGGGATATGCTGTTTGATTCAATCTGTCAGCCTTTGGGTCATATGGCCCATATATCTGCATTACTGTGACCCTGAAATTCATAAACTACATAACTCATTTGTGTGATAGACAGAAGATCTTTTTTGGTTTGATTACTGCATCATGTTACTGCCTCAACCAACTTAAGATGACCAGGGCACTTGCTCAACTAGGGGCAAAACTCATTTACACATGCAAATCAGAATCCATGGTATTAGGACTTTGATAATATTTAATGCTACCAAACAGATGTCCTGTTAAACAAAAATTGTAGGGAACAACCCTTTAATATACACAAAAATCTTTACTTAGCAGGATCAGAAATTCTTACTCGGCAGGTTACGTTTGGTTAAAATCAAAACTTTGTGCACAATGAGTCAGATGTGAAACATGCAGTTAAGTAGTTCACTGATGTGATTACCTGAGACATTGAGATACTGATCAACTGTAATGTATTTGAATGGTAACGGGGCTGACTGTCCTAGTCCTGCTCCGATGATCCAATAACACAAGAGTTTGCTGAGTCATCAGTTGTAATTTTCCCTACAGCTGTTATTTCACGTAGATGTTTTCCAAAAGGAATTTCAAAACTTTTGGCACAATATCTTTTGCACAAACTGAAAATTACCAGCAGTGGTATCATGGGAGTAATTTTAACAGGCATGGAATGCAGGGGCAGTCTTGTTAACTGGAATATTAAAATAAACCTGTGTGTTTCATATTTAATGTCTCTTCCAGGTTTTCTGGGGTTTCGGAAACCTGCAGTGAAAGGAAAGCTTGGTGGAAGAGTACAATACATGTGAGCCAAGAGGAGCCAATCTGAATACTCCCCGTCAAGTTGATCTGTTTCCCTGCCCACCAAACCCCAACCCTGGCTCACGCACCCGTCTTCCAGATTTAAAAAAAAATCTTCACTGTCCCCTTCCTCCAGATTGGAGACCACTCCTTAGTCTCAGACAATTCACTTCTTTCACCTCACTCCCAAGATCAACAACCACTGGTCTCCCCTTAAGATCACCCTGAAACCCTTGAACTACACACCCCACTGTCCCTCCCCCCAATCTAGGGATCATTGCCCTTACCTATCTCAGTATCAGATGTCCCATCCAAACCCTCCTATACCGAATTTAGCAATACCCCTTCCCTGGTATCAGACCGCATGGATATGTGACCATCTTGCCTCATCCGTTTCAAACCACCTACCACTGAGGAGTAACTGAACCTGTCTGAATCAGGTGCCCCCTTGCCCAGGTATCACAGCACCTCCTCTACATTTCCCGCTAAACTTAGTGCTCCTGTGGCCTTTTCTGGAGTAGTCCCATGATAGCAGAACAGCGTTCAGACAATTGGGAACTGCCTGAGAAAAGGAAAGTTACTTACTATGGAGACAAGATGTCACGTAGTGCACCAGAGAATCCCTTCTGTGTCCCTCACAAAATTCAACCCAGTCAGGACCAGGACCATACTTACAACTGTGTTCTACAACTATCTTGCTATTAAGGTTGAAATAAATGAAATGAATGCAATAAATATAGATAGAAAACAACACTTATGTACACATTTTCAACCTTCACCTCTTGTTGCACAAACCTAAAAATTATTCCAAATACAGCTCGCTTATGCCACCTTGTGAGAACTTAATCATATTGACAGTTTCATAAGTTTCAACAGGGCAAGTGAATTAAATAAGATAACACAGTGTGGAGCTGGAGGAACACAACAGGCCAGGCAGCATCAGAGG